TTCTTTATTGTCAGTACTTATGATGAGGAGAATAAATAGGTATGCCTTTCCACTTCTTTTTTTAAAAATCTAAAATCGTTGCATTCTTTAAGCACACTTGAAATCCATTTTTTGGAAACAAACAAATAACAGAATTAGTTTCAGCATTTAACATTCAAGCAAATACTTAGGTGCAGGGATATTTGTAAATTCATGTTTAGTGCTGATATTCCAAAACTTCCAACCATTTAAAACCATATTAATATTATCAACTGTTAAATGTGAACGATCAGTGCCATGAAAACAGTGGGTGGTTTAATGGTTGGTTCTCTAGTATATAGCCATAATCCTGAGGGAATGGTTAAGACGGCAAATTTTCTACAGAAACAAAAATACTTATCTGTTCACCAAAAGTTTACAGTGAACACAATTAGGACACTAGTCGTAATCAATCTTAACCTAGAATTTAGTGCTTACAGAAATTGAAATTAAACCAAATAATAGTATGAGCAATAATTATTTCCCTCTGAAACTGGTCTGGGAAACTACCCAAATGTGTATCAAGATCATTTCTGCAAGTATGTTTAACACCTAACAAGTTCTTTGCTGTCTTAAAGCTATAGGGTCTTAGATATGAAAATAAAACAAAACACCTGAGAATTATACTTTTGTGATTCTAATTAAAAAGACCATTATAAATCACCCCAGGAAAATGTAAGGACACTGCAAATAATGTAAAAACCCCTTTTTTGTTTCAGGCCATTTCAAATCCAAATGAGAGAACAAAAATGGGCATAAGACTCACGTCACGTATGAAGATAAAATATATTACAGTAACTGTTTTACTAATTATAACTTTGCAGTATTTTGGAGTGTTTACCCATGTATTTGAATTAGATTTCTACAGACACTTCCATTACCCACTGGAAGGTGACATCCAAAAGTATGTCCTACAGCTTCGAAACGTGGAAGTGCCAGATGTAGCTCCCATCAACATGTACAACTATACCTTCATATCAAGTTGTAATAAGAAGTGCATGGAGAACGATTATTCAGGAAAACTAAGGCTAGTGTATATTGTAAAATCTGCAGTAAACCATTTTGATAGAAGGCTAGCAATAAGAAGTTCTTGGGGGTTTGAAAAAAGATTTTCAGATGTTCCCATACGAACTGTGTTTCTTCTTGGTGTAAACCCAAAGAATGTAGATTTGCAGATAGGTATAGAAAAGGAGCAACAAAAATATGGCGATATTGTTCAGGCTGATTTTATAGATTCATATTTCAACAATACAATAAAGACTATGATGGGCTTCAAATGGGCTGTAACTGTATGCCCAAATTCCAAGTTTTACATGTTTAGTGATGATGATATGTATATATCAACTAAAAATGTCCTCCGCTTCATTAGAAACCCAACACAATACCCAGAATATTTGGAAACACCAGTTCTATCACTTAAACATCTCAGAAGGGTACAGAGATCACTTTCAGACAGGCAAATTAATGGTCAAAGTATCTCACAGGGAATACATCCTGTGAGAAGAGAAAAGAGACAAACTAAGCTTGAAAACTTTGAACTCACATCAGTTCAAAGAGGTGGTCAGAAGCTACAGCATTTCCTAGACTTTGAATTACCAGATGATGCACGACTTTTCTCTGGGTATGTTTTTATGTCAGCACCACACCGGCACAGAAGCAGCAGATGGTATATTACTTTGGCAGAGTATCCATACCACATGTGGCCACCTTATGTTACAGCTGGTGCATATGTCCTGTCCCGAGAAGCTTTGTTTGACATGTACTATGCAAGTTTATATACAAAACATTTTCGCTTTGATGACATCTACCTTGGCATAGTTGCTAAGAAAGTTGACATTGAGCCATACCATTGTACTCAGTTTCATTACTATAAAAAGGAATACAATGTCTTCAGTTATCGGCACGTAGTGGCATCGCATGGTTACGATGATCCAAGTGAATTGCTTAAAGTATGGAATGAACAGAAGAGTGCTGGAAATGCCTAAACAAATTTTTGTGATGCTTGATGTTTTCCATTTTGGTAGGTACGTAACCATACTCCATTCTATGTCATTTACATGTTAGTCATTGAACACACACACTATACTTAAGCAAAGTCAGATTCCTTCACAAAAATTGTCCATAAAGTAACAATACCACTTTAAACACTGAAATATATGTGTATATAAAACACATTAGTGTGTATATCAGACTTGGAGGATAGGCAAATACCTAAATTGATTTACTCTTTCAGAAACTGTTGCCATATCCTTTCTTGTCCATAGAAGTTTTTTTTAAAGAAAGAAAGGAAGAGCAACAATTTTCCAAGTAAATAATGCTGAAGTCAGCAAAGGCAGTATTGCCTGATTTTATGAAATTAGAGTCTGATTAATGCTAAAATTTACTTTGCAATGTCCAAACATGTATGAATTCAATCTATAACCACTTTGTATATTAACAGAAGGCATAATGTTTATTTCAAAGTTGTCTTTTTAAATTGTGAATGTTTTATCCTCTCTGTGAGAGTAAACAGAAAGTGCAGCATAAAGCCACTAAGAGTGGTCTGCCATATTAAAAAGAGACCATGAGATCAGTTTCTCATTCAGATTTTGTGAAACAATTACATAAATAACCATAAATTATGTGTTATGACACATTATTAGCAGGTCTGCACAGATTTTCCACAAATTTAGGACCCACCTCCAAAAACTAAGAACCTCTTTATTGTCAGTACTTATGATGAGAAGGATAAAGAGGTATGCCTTTCCACTTCTTTTTTTAAAAATCTAAAATTGTTGCATTCTTTAAACACACTTGAAATCTATTTTTTTGGAAACAAACAAATAACAGAATTAGTTTCAGCATTTAACATTCAAGCAAATACTTAGGGTCAGGGGTTTTTGTAAATTCATGTTTAGTGCTGATAATATTCCGAAACTTCCAACCATTTAAAACCACATTAATATTATCAACTGTTAAATGTGAACGATCAGTGGCATGAAAACAGTGGGTGGTTTAATGGTTGGTTCTCTAGTATACAGCCATAATCCTGAGGGAATGTTTAAAACGGCAAATTTTCTACAGAAACAAAAATACTGATCTGTTCACCAAAAGTTTACAGTGAACACAATTCGGACACTAGTCCTAAGAGGCCATGAGATCAAACAGTTTATCATTCAGTTTTTGAGAAACAGTTACATAAATAACCATAAATTATGTGTTATGATCACATTATCAGCAGGTCTGCACAGATTTCCACGAATTTAGGACGCACCTCCAAAAACTAAGAACCAAAATATATATAGGCCTGTATATCATAAATGAAAAAATATTCATGTAATTTATTTGCAAACACTGAAGCTGACACCTATGTAATAGAATCAGAACTGCATGTGAAAATTTTAAAATGCAAATATACAAAGCCATCAGAACATGTGCAGAAAATTTTGGAAACCTAGCTTCCAGGATTTGTGTAGGCCTGGTTATAAATCACTGATTTTTGCTAGGGCTGTGAATTAATATTAATTATTACCATTAATTTGTTCATAAACTGATTAATGGACACATTTTCTTATGAAAAGTTAACTATTTATTACATGAAAAATAAATGTGTAATTTGAAACCAGACACTTTAAAAGGAGCTGGCTAAGGGAGCTTCACTACTAGGCAACAAATTAATGGGCAGTGACAGTACACTGAGAGAAAGCTAGAAGTTAGGCATTTTAGAATTATAATAATGACAATAAAAGGGCACACACATCTTGATTACTTTGAGCACAGAAATAATACTGGGTGAACACACAAGATCTGAGCAGCTTTAGATATTTAACAAGAAATAAATGTTATACAGAAATTAAATGTACACTACTGGGTTGGGGGGGGCATGAGGGAGAGGTGATGTATCCCAAATAATAGCCAGTAGAAGTAGACCTACTGACAGTATGACAAAATGGTCATTCAATCCAAGAAAGCTGTTTGTATGCTCGAAATGAATTCTACAAAATTTGTAACCACTATTCAATGGGTTTTTGAAGGAAGTCCATAAAAGTTTTCAATGTGCATATTCAGTTCACTTTCTCAGGCTGTCACCATTTTACTGCCATGTCAAGAGCTATGCTTCTAGTGGCCTTCTTTCACATGCTACAAAAACTTTTCTTTCTGCTTCAATTAATGGTATTTCATTTCAGTATGCTATTTAGTTTTTGTTGAATAAATATTTGAAATCACTCAGATAATTTGTGTTTGCCCTATATTTTAGTAAATATTCTGTATTATGAGGTTCAATATGAAAATATGCAATAGTTTAGCCACTGCCCAAAGGGAAAAAATTACAATTAAAGACTTGGGCTAGCTTACTGCTTAACTGAAACAGCCCTAATTTTTCAAATAAACATTGTTTTGAGAGAAAGATGTGAAAATAAAACATGCAGTTGATATATGTTTATGATTTTGATTACTATGCTCGAGATTAGTCTGGATGATCGTGGGCATACTTCATGTGATTGCAGGAAGGAACGTGGACAGACTTAACACAGATACTGAAGTTCAGTTCTCAGAACTTCATCCACTATACCTTCTATTCACATGAGATATGCCAATGGAACTGCCATGAGCAAACACGACAATAAAACTACTGGTTATTATTACAAACTTGTTTCCAGTGTTGATTACTGAGCACACAAGGGCATTTGCATTGCTTTAGTGAGGTACAAGGTTCAACTCCCAAGCATGACAGCTATCCTAATTGAAGTTTCCTGTAAAATTCTGAAATGGCAACTTAAAACATGTCATAGGCACTTCCTCCCTCATTCCTGAGAGGTCACCCGATTCACTGCAATATAATCTCTGCAGATGATTAGACAATGCACATATGTATCAATAAACAACAAACTTAATTGAGAACTACAGTGAAACCTCTATCCATTGTTCCCCGAACTATCATTTTCCCAAATGCAGAGTCTGGTTTGTTCAGTCCCTGATTAGTCCCATATAAAGTAATGTTACATTTTCTGGCTTCTAGCGTTCCATTTAAAAATCTTAGTCCTGACCCACAATTTTCTTGCACCGATCGTTTCTGAGAAATTACATCAAAATTTACGCAATGTTTTTAGAATTTAAAATGGTTGCATTACAGATAGATCAATATCAAAAGACGCGCAGCGAGCTTGCCACATGCAGAGTCAACACTATTGATGACTTGTGAGACGATGTGAAAGGAGCAGACGCAGTGAGGAAGGTGAAGACAGAGTTTTGCCGAAGCACATGCTGCATTGGTGTAAAAGTTAATTCATTCTTTTATGCACACAATATTTGTGAAGGAGGTGATGAAAACTTTTTGAACATGGAAAGGGCTCTGTTTCGCCTAAAACGTAAAATTATCCATTATAGGCTTTTTTAGCAAAAAGAAGTAACGTTGAAACAGGTTTTGTATGTATTGTTTTGTGTATGCCAAAGAGAAAAATGCACTATTTTAAT